GGGCACATGAATGACCGCACCCGCCCACAACAAGCCCACAGCCAGCGGACAGCCGCCGCCTCACAGCCCCCGCAGCGCACACCCCCGTCAAGGCCGCCCTGCCCGCCCGCTGGTGGTGGTCCCTTCAGAGCGAAGCCCACCCCCGGACGCGCACAAGCCCCCTGGGACTTCCAGCAGCGACGAGGAGTCGAGACGGAAAGAAGGGGGAGGGGGAGGGGGGCGCTGTCCTTCCCGGGGGCGCGCAGACCCGACGACGCCGTCGCCGTCCGCGCCGCCCTCCGTGCGAGGCCCTCCATCCACATACACGGTTTTCGCAGAGATCTTCTTTTGCAATGTTTGGGTTTGCACGCACGAACAAACACTCGCACACATACACACACAGTCAAACTCTCATGCAAACGCGCAAAAGTGAGTCTTCCCCCCCCCTCCCCCCATTTCTCCGCTTTTATTCACACATACATCCTCCTTCCGGATCGCGAAAAGCAAAGAGCTGCGAAGCCCAGCACACTGGAAAAACTAGTCTGACACGTGTCACGCCAAGTGATGTGACCAGACCAGTGTTGGTCAAACACTTGTAATGTCACTTGAGTTTTGGTCACGCCTATCGAAGCACACATCCGAGGTAAAAGGTATATGGGCAGGACACAGAGGATATCGTAAAAAAGTAAAACGTGACAGAAAAAATGGTCACACCACACCTGCCTCTTGCCGAAGATCGAGGATGTCACACTACTTGTAAATGTGACAATCGTCGCATTAATTTTTCGCAGTAGAGTCTCGATGACGACGACGACGACGACGACGCCGGCGGCGGGGGCGTATCTTGATTCCGTCCAGGACGGTGTGCGCGTGCCGCGGGCCTCGCGTGCCCCGGACGAGGCCGAGGAGAAGGGCGAAAAGTATGACGCGCGTGCGGTGGGGTGGGGAGGGAAGGGCGGGGAGGCTTGGAATTCGAACCGCAGCAAGCAGCCCGCGGCGAGGTGGGGCGGGGCAGGGCTGGGCGGGGTAGTGGAGGGTGGGTCGTGGCTGGGACGCCCCCTGAGGCCATAACGCCATCCGTCCCACGCCCCACGCGCCTCTCGGTCGTCTGCCCTTTTGCTCGCGAACGGCTTAATAAAAGCGGACTCTGCTCAGCTCACACCAGCAGGGCTGTGGGGGGCGCGCTGCTACGTTGTTGCTGTAGGGTATATATTCCGTTGCAAGACAATCAGACCTTAGAGAAGAAGAAATTACATGATTGGTCGACGATTAATCTGACGTTGGTGTATGGTGGTCAGCTAAAAGTCACAAGGTGGCTGGATTATGGTATCCGAATCAGCGCCTTTGATGTCAAAGGATTCTGGAGGGTAATTCCTAAGATTCTTCTCAAAGTTGTACCACCTCGCATTTTTGAGAAACTTTTTTGCCGTGCGCGAAACAGGTCTGCGAGAGGTCTGACACCCCCGTCCCCTCACGCACCCCCATGCCGTTACGAAAATCATTTTTTTTTATTCCATTTGGCAGCCGTGGCCTTGGCCCTCAGGCCCAGCCCACAAAGCGCACGGAAAAAAAAGGGTTGGTCGTGGTGACCAGATTATCCTGGTTGAGAGTGAATTGGTTGTGAGCATCGAACTGCTTGGTTGTGGCAGCCGGCTGGATTCGTTGTTGTGTTACAACTCGCTTTGTTAGGTCGACTCGATCGCTGTAATCAAACGCCGCCCTACTATCTGGCTTGGTTCTGTTCATACAGGTCGCTTTGTCGTGGCAATCACCCGGCGCCGTTTACCTAGGTCGACGAACTCTACAGGAACGTGCGAGAGAAAAGGGGTTGCCCACTATGCCTTGTCGCCACCTAGCGGTAGAAATCAGAATCACGTGCAGCGTAGCACTCCTTCCGCAACCCGGACTGATTATTTCGTTAATTTCATCTCACCCGCGACCATTTTAGGTGAATAACTCCTACCTACGGCAAGATAACAACCATTCGAAATTATATTTCAATGGTTGAAAACCATTTGTTATTCATTTGAAAAGATACGCTTATATTTGTGTTACCTCGCGGTGAGGCCTTCGGTCGCCTCCATTGCTGGGTGTCCCGAGTGACGTGTACATTGTACTCTGAAAAGAGACAGTCTAAAATTCGCCATCAGGTGATTGAAATGACTTGCCGATATTTGATATCTGCCGAGCCTCAGTGGATCGCAGAATCTTGATCTCAACCTTCAATAACAAACTCTAGCCAAAAAAATAGACAAAACAAATGATGTCAGATTAGTATGTCCTCCAAGACGACAA